TTAAAGTAATTATAACAGTCAAGTGAACTGCATAGACTACTCACATATGAGGTTAAGTACGTAGAGTTCTGAACAAACCTGATGGCAGTGTGGGGCATCTCACTGACTGCTAGGTTAAACATGTTCTACAATTCGTGATATCCACCAAACACCTCAAGTACAGAAGACACTGAGCCAAATGGTTGATCAAAAATGACAAATCAATTGACTTATGTAATAAGAGACACCAGATCTAGCACTGTATCAGTGCTTTCAAAACTTTGGAAAGTCATTGTGGACCACACATTTCTACTATATTATTTAACTTACCTCAACATTGATTATATAAAGACATCATTATGTTCTTTCCATAAATGCTGGGAGTCATGGTGGGCAAGAAAGAAATGATAGATGGTCCGGATCTGGCCCGTGGACTGTATTTTGCCCACCCCTGGTCTTGAGGAAGTTCAGGGGAATGTTTCCTCATTTCTCGTAATGAATTTGTCAGCTCATCCAGGGTGTGTGGATAAAGAAGATGGGAAATCCATCTCTGAAGCTGGTGCCATATGTTTTCTGTTGGGTTGAGGTCTAATTAAAACTCTGGTGTGTTCTTTCTCACAACAGTTTTTGTGACAATACATGAACAGTAGGAATGAGTAACATTTTGTCTGTTATAGTATAATCAGGTCCAATAACAGTATCATAAGATTTGAAAACAATTGCCATGACATTTTGCCAAACTTTCATTAATAGTTTTCCATGCTGGCAATATATGCCAAACATTTTGTTAAATTGTACTTTGCATTTAGTAGTTAAGTAAAAGCCAATATATAGTCAGTTTATGATCTTTGCCAACAAGACTGATACACACTGTTTACATTTTTAACACAAAAACGTTTTAATATACACACAACAATACAATTTACAATAACAGTTATTACAAAGTTATTACAAACAATGATTTATAAACAAAAGTTTCACAAACTTACAAGCAATATAAAGTCTTCTCTCTAGTTTGAAACTTTCTTGATATCTTATTAAGGGTTCATGAGGAGCAAGTTGATTACGAGTTGTTATAGGTACAATTCACTTGGTAGGGAGCTAGCTAGCCCTGTAGTTCTTGCTAATCACACTCCAATTACAGGTCGAGTTTCACTGATGACGTTGGGTAATGTTTTTGTAAAAATACTAATGTCCGATGAGAATCCACTGAAGTTAAACGATTTGTAATGTTCAAACTTTGTAAAGGTTCCTTGTCAAATATCTGAAATTTTCCGATTGGTGAGGTTTATAACAATCACAGTTATAGCTTCCGAAGTTTTATTGCACACTGACTATTGTGAACTAATGATAGACACACTCTATGGCACGTCGTTTTAGTTATATTTATAGGCTGCGGAGGCATTCTAGAAATTTCAGTTGTACATAACAGTACAAATTTAAGTAGTTACATATATTCATATATTGTTGATTCTTACTCTCGAGAATCTTCTACAACTTTGGAGAATAGGTGGGAGTTTTGCAATACATATTTAATACTATAACGTATAAGCTATGTGTGTTTCTAAACATAAATTTAATCTAACAAATGTTGATATAATAACAAATTCGTTACACTCTAAATATGGCTTAATCAGTGACCCATACAATGAACTTATAGCTTCTTTAAGACTTATATTCAATATTTTTGTAGGTAAAACCCAAAACCCTACTTTACCTAACATAAGCAACAGAACACTGCTTTGATTGTTTAACTCTTTCAGCATGGGCTCGGTCCCTGAGACCGACCTCATAACCATTTTGTGCTTGTTATAGTTTTCATGCTATAACTTTTAAACTAGTAAGCAAATGTTAACAAAATTTGGTAGATTATCAGTAAACAATACAATGCTTTAATACACAAAATATCAAAGTTTTTTATTAAGTCTTAAGGTTTGTAAAGTAATGTTTTTCTCATGTCTTATTTTTTCTTTTCACGTGTCGCCTATCTATCATGCAAAGTATTATTCCTTTTTAAGATTAAAAATACTATTATGCATCAGAAAATTTTCAAATTTCACATGCAAAATGTTTATAATGTCCAGATAGTTATTAAACATTTCTTAAGAAAAAACTTATATTTTATCTGTTATTTTCAATAATTAATCTCTCTACACGTGTTCAATAGATTTGGCTGATCTCGTAACCACCATTAAAAATTAGAAAATAAATATAAATTATGCTTCTTTCATTCTATAATGAACACAAATTATAACATGAAAACATAAATAGCTTAAATCTCATAACATTAGATATTTATATATTTTTATTATTTTGATCTTTCAGCCGTGCCTGGCTAACAATAAAGAAGTTACAGTGATGCGGCTTACATGCACTCATGTTATCATATCAAATAACAAAACTGACTTTTGGTCTGTACATAGTAACTTGTCTTGGCTGTGTTTTAGTAGACCAGTAAAATAGTCACATTTGAATTGTTATATATGTATATAGATTATTGCTATTTTGAAGTAAGTTCTTAAACGTATTTTTTTTAAAACATAGAACAGTAAATAAAGAAGTAAAGTTACGACCTTTTTACTTGGTTGCTGCTTGACGTAGGTTGCTAAGCCTTTTAAAATTTTGTATGTGGAGGATATGAAACAAATTATTTTTTTTAGGTTTTAGATATACATGTTAATAACTAAAAAATCATAAATTACTACATCAATACCATAGAATTCCACTAACTTATCAAGCTTGGTAACTAAGGTGTATTTTAGTAAGAAACAAAATATGAAATTTTGAGCAGACTAAAGACACACCCTACCTCCTTGAAATATTAGTTCAAAAAAAAGAAATGGTATCCAAGCCCATTAGAATGACTGAGAAAGCCACTAGGGGGACATTCTGAGCTTCCTATTGGTTATTCATGTCATATATAGAAGTAACTGATATAAGGGAGTGTTTCCAAAAATGGGGTGCCACTGTGTTTGATTTATTACATGAGCAATATCTTAGCAAATAGAAAAGATAAGACTTCTTTTTTTATGGTTCAGCTTGTTTAACTTTTTAATTTGTACTAAATTATAAACTTAGTATTTTGACATCACAAACATCTAATTTGAACCAGTGCTGCATTCAACATACCACGTGACACACAAAATTTGATTTTTATCTGTTTTTTTTATATTTACTTTTAAATTAAGAAATTGAATAATGTATAGTACTAAAAGTTGAATTATACTCTACAGTTTGATACCAAACTTAGTGACATAAATTCATACTATTCAAGGACTTGTAAAAAAAAAAAAAGTAGCAAATGGCTTGCATATCCAATCCTTAATCTCTTTCAAAACCTTTGGGGAAATAATATCTTGCCTTGGAGCTTTATCATTTTCTTAACTTCCCAGTTTTACTTAACAACCTCAGAATTAATTTGATCATCTTGTTCAATCTTACCATTCAGGATGAGGAATATTGATTAAATCTTCATTTGTAAAAATTGGAGAAAAAGTAGAATTTAATAACCCAGCCAACTGATAATCATCATATATAATCCCCTCTTTATCATTCTTCAAAGGTTCTTCTCCAATTGTAACATTTTGTATCCCCATAATATATTTGAAGAAATCTTTGCTGTTAATGTTTACATTTTAAGCCAATCTTTTTTTTTCCATATACCCTTTTTTATTACATAATTTCCTGTTTTCCACTTATGTATGCTGATCCATAGCAGCGAATTTAAACTTTTGAAGTTTATGTACAGTTTGTTAAAGCTCAGCTGAGCTTATTAACCCGTTCAGATTAGCACAAATTAATTCTTCACATATAGCTTAAAGGAAAATACTATGAAGATAACTTGTTACATAAATTAATAGCAAAGATATTAAATATATTTACCTTATTTCACTTGTGCCACTATTTCATCTTGTTACTCATATAAACTGTTATTTATTTGTGACATAAAACTATTAATTGATAGCTTCCAAAGGTGGGATAATTGAATTTAAACAAATTTAAAATACGCCTTGGATTGTTACACAAATCTACTAAATTTAACCATAATTGTAGCCTCAAATTAGGCAAGTTGAGGTGGTTGTATCATTTAATATCTAGTTATTCAACTTTCTTTTGGATCATGTGTAAATGTTTGATGTTATTCACAGAAAAAAATTAAAAATATCAAAATAAAAAGTTCTATGAGTACTTTTTTTTTTTTGCAACAGAGCTTTTTTTGGGGGGGGGGAGAGGGAGTATGCTTGGTAGCCTCCAAACTTGAGGCTCATTTCTCTTAGGTCTGATTGTGGCCAGCTCCCATGCCTGATGTAGTGTCAGTTTTATTATTTAGGTATCTTACATAGAGGTGATAGAACAGTGCTACATGAATATATAGTCTTTAAAGACTTATTCACATTAGTAAACTAAATGTTTTCATGCAGAAAGAGAATACTTCCTGGAAAGCTGACACAGACATGTAACCCATTAGATAAAGGTAACTTATTTTTCAATGATTTACTGATGTTTTCATGGGATAAATAAGTCATAGCATGGCTTTGATGCAACTCGTTGTAGGAATGCTTACATTATCTTTAGTAGAGTCAAATTCTCAACAGTAAACTTTGATAAATTTTGTACAATTTTCTTCATATACAGACAGAGGATCTTCAAAGACATACACCAACTCTATGTGTTCCAAGACAGTTTGTAGCAAGTAATATTATACCTTTCAAATTTCTTCTTATGTCTGTCATGAATTACATACTTTAACAGTAAATATACTGCTTCAAAAAGTATATTTAAGTTGATTTTTATTTGAAATAAACAGAACTTGACATTATATTTCTTATTAATTACTGAATGGCTTAAAAGTTAAGAGGAGGAGGATTGATCATTTCCTGAATAGTAAAGGATGTGTTTAAATTTTTACTTTTCCCAAAGGTGGGTATGCAAAATCAGCCCTTTGTTGTTCATAGGTAATGTGATCTGTTAGTTTGTTTAAAGAGATTTCTTTTAAAACATATGCTGTTGTTTTTTTGCAGGTTTATTATGGAGGTGATCTTGATTCCAGCTTTGAAACTGACAATGAAGTAGAAAGGAGAAGGTTTGAAGTAGTATTACTGTTGAGATTTGTAGTGTGTAAAGTTCTAAAGAAAAGTTGACATTCAATACCCCCCCCCCCCCAAAAAAAAAAAAAAAGAAATGTGTGCTTTAAATGTGTGTGAAAAAATTAAGCCAGTAGTAGTAGTGGTACTCCGAAATTTTGAGGGCAAATGAAATCTGTGAAAGTGTTATCTTCGAACAGTGTTGTGGATTTCAAACTCTTCCTTTGATTGTAAAAATTTAATTGAAGTTGTGTTTATTTTTATGTGAAAAGCATTAGAAAATTATAAACATGTAAAAGTTGGGGAATCGTCAGACATTTGTAGCTTAGAGGTAAGAGAACATAAAAAATATTGATTTGCTAGACATATTTTTGATTTTATATCCTAAAATCAATCAATAAAATAATTGTAAATAAACTTGAGAATTTAAATGAAAAGATATTGAATTACAAAGAAATCAGTTACATACAAATCAAACATTTTAAGGGCTAACACACTACATATTTTATGAATATAACTTTATGAAACATTAATCTATTCAGCAAAATCACTTAAACTTTCTTGTAGTATTTTCTGTGATACAGTACACTTTTTTTTGTTTGTTTCTTTGTTTATTTAAAAAATTTGTTTACCTTTTATGTGTTTATATATATATCAGTACAAAGTGAAATTTATAAGATATGTAGTAAAATGTAATGTATACTTCACAATATTGAGTAATGTTCTGGTATGTACATTTATCATTGTTATTAGATCAGATGTGGTCATTTGGTACTGTATATCATATATTGATAATAACCTAAAGTTTTTTAAGTTTGATCTTTGTTCCAATGATATTGTTCAAGCATATGATATTTGCCCCAAATGTTAATGTATCCTAGCTCTTTTATACCATAAAAAGATTAATACATTAGTTAGCCTTCACCTATATGATAAAATGTTTTGAAACTTTCATGAAACTTGAAATGCTTCTTTACATGTGTTTTTAATGCATTTTTTGTCACCATTTAGTAAAATACCTTACAAAATAAGTCATTAACTATTCAAGAAAATTTAGGAAGTTTAAAAAATTATAAATCCTCCTGGGTCAAATAATATTTTCCAACTGGTATTAAAACAGGTTAAGGATTGCGTAAGTAAATCCCTTTCGACCATTTTCTTCAAGTCTTTAAGGTAGTTGAAGATCATTGTCCAGGTAATTATAGGCTAATTAGTCTTACTTCTGTGGTGGTAAAAGTTTTGTAAAGACTGATTAAAGATGCTTTACAAAGCTACCTTACACAGTTTACAATTTTGTTGGACAATCAGCATGATTTCACATGGAGAAAATCTTGTCTCACAAATTTCTAAACATTCTCCAAAGATGTTGCTATATAATGATGGTAAAGGTTTGAATTTGGTGTACCTGGATTTTAGAATGTTTTCAACAAAGTGCCACATAAAAGACTAGTGGGTGTGGAGGATAGATTAGCTCAATGGGTTGAGGGTTGATTAGAGGAGAGGAAGCAAAAGCTACATGCTGGGACCCTTAGCCTTTTTGATATACCTTAATGAGAATGGCCAACAAATTTGTAAAGTTTACAATGATATTAACATTTAGAGCATAGTTGTGTGCCAGGAGGATGCTGTTGTTTTACAAAGAGATTTGAGTCATTTGGAAAATTAGGCAAATAAAATATTAAATGGAATTTAATCATGCTAAGTGAAAGGTAAGGCACATGGACTACCTCAGTTTAAAATATAATTACTGTATTAGTGGAAATTAACTCAGTAATGTTATGGAAGAAAAATACCTTAATGTTTGGATTGGATCAGTCTCTTAAATCATCAGGAAGCATGTTGTTGCCAATGGGAAATCAAATATGATTTTGTGTTATACTTACAGGAATAGTGATACAAGGCAAAGAAGATTTGTTTTTTCTCTTAACAGATCTCTGTTTAGGCCTCATTTGGAGTATTGTGTTTAGTCCTGGGATCCTTACTTTAAAGGTATTGAGTTGTTGGAAAGTACTCGAATCATGGCTTCTAAGATGATTCTTTGGATAGAGAGGCTGTCTTTTAAGGACAAGTCAAGATCCTTATCATTATTTTCTCTTGAGAAAATAATGTTTATAGTGCATTTTGACCAGTCAGAGGGCAACTGTCATAGAATTGTACTAGATCCAAAATGAACTGAAACATTTATCTATCCCATTAGCAATCCTTGTCTCCATGAAGAACAACTGATACAATAGCAACACTGATTGTGACAAGATACATGACTGTTATTAGATTTCTTATGCTGTTTATGGCTCATCATTTTAAGTCTAACATGAAAGAAAATAAATGAATATTAAGAGGATTTATATTACTGATGAGTAATAATCACAGAGTTTCTGTTCTTATATAAATCAACCCAAGAGAACCTTGAAATTACATTGCTCTTCTTATAATTTAATATCAACATGCTACTGATTTGCCAACCCATGGCATTCCAGGTTGAGCACAGCTAATTTACATAGATTTAATGTACTACATCCTTGCAAATTACTTAATATTTTGCATTAGAAACGTAAAAAGTATTGGAGAATTGTAACAACAATTTGTTTAATGCGGAAGTAATTAGCAAAACAGTGCTAAAAACTCTGTTCTATCAACTAAATATAATTGTTTAACCTTAGTAATTTCATTCAGAATTTTGTAAACTTTCATGTAAACAACTTGTATTGTAAAATGATTTCAGCTATAAGTTTTAAGAATTCTGATATATGTATTATCCCTCTGGTAGGACCAACGAACATGACTTAGCTGATAAGATGAAGTTAAGCCCTGCTAAGAAACCTCCAAGGCATTTCTTTACTGAAGAATGTAGTAGGTAAGCTTTAGGTTTCAAGGTAATTAAATGATTTAACCTCAAATTTATAAATTTAAGTATCTTATGATTTAACTGTGTGAAAATATATATATATATATATATATATGTTTATTTTTATTTTTTTTAATTTGGTAGTTTTACTGGTCTGCTTGACTTATACTGTGTTCCTTTGACCTGGTTTAATTACTGTAAAACAGAATGAAAATGTTCTTATACTAATATGTATTTTTATGGTCTTTTTCATGTGTTAGTTGAGCAATATTTTTGTATTTATGTGGTTCATATTCTCTGGTAGCTGGTCAGTTTTTTTAACTATTCATCGTAATGATTTATCTGAAGTTAGCAGAGGACTAAAAAAAAGTTAGTTTAGTATAGCTCTAGATTTATAGTGTTGAAATCCTACTGTTGGCTTTGAAATGTTTTGAAAAATTCCTTGAAATTATTTTCCTTATATGTGTACAAACTCTGAAATATGCTTAGTAATGTAACATAGGATGACTGTTGATAATTATTCCACTTTATTGTGTGACTGTGAAAATCCCATATCTTTCACAAGGTTCATAACATTAAAGTAGTGAAATGCTTGAACTGGAGATGGCACTTTTTTACACTAACAATATCCTAACAGAATCTTTTGAATTAGGGTTGCGAACTGTTACATATTTCATGAAACCATTCCTTGTTTGGTAACAAAATGCAGTATTCTGTTTCAAATAGGAATGTTACATGATTTGTTCTATATTTTGCTTAGGGAGCATAATTTTTTTTAAATCTTAGTCTCTGATTTGAGAAAAATGCTGAAAATTATTGAATACAAACAAAAGAGTTCTTAATTTTAGAGCTGTTCAGGTGGCAATTCTACTTTAAGTAGATGATTAACGTAATGAACTGTTGTTGGATTCTGTTTCTTAGGGAATACTGCACTCTTAATTAACTATCAAATGTGATGTCACAATGTGTTTAATTAGTGAGAGAATGAAGCTAAGAAAAGTATACAAACAGATTCTTGCTTAGCTATAGTACATTATGAACATAGGATGAAGAAGTGTGCATGAATAGAGCTATAGTAGGCCATTTTTGTTCAGAAATTGTACTGATCCATTGAACCATTATCTTAAGAATAGCTGGTGGTTAATCATAGTGTTTACTGGTCTCAGACTATAAAACCAAAGTTATTTTCACATTCTGGATTATCATGGGTTTTGATGTTCTTTATCTTTTAATATGGTTTAACTCTTTTTTTGCTTTTTCTACCAGAATTATTTTCATGATTTTCTAGCAATTATCACAATCCCTTATAAAATTTCAATTTTCTTAATTTTATGGATAATAACATGGTTTGGATTAGTTTTCAGCTAAAGAGACATAAATGTTATTGGACTGTGACACTGTTCCAATGGGGAAATCAGGATTTTCAGCAGGATGCTGGGAGCATCCACTCAGGTTCAAGGAGATAAATGGAATCTTGGAGAATTGTATCATTTGACAGATTTGAAAGTTTTAGAAGTGACGACTTATTGAGCAGTTGGCCATTTATCATTTTTTGGTTTATTTATCTAGAAGGTCATACGACTGTGTTCTGTTAATGAAAGAACATCGTAGTAACTCTTGAAAGTCGTATGAATGTATCTTCTTAATGTGACATAACCATATTAGTAATGTTTAAAGCTCTCTTGACTGTCTTCTTAGGGGTATAACCTTATAGTAGTACTTGAGGTCTCATAGGTGTGTCTTGTTAAGGATATAGCCATATATAATAAAGCTTGAAGGTCTCATGACTGTATCTTTTTTGTGTGATATAACCATCTAGTAATACTTGAAGGTCACATAACTGCATATTGTTAATGATATAACCTTATAGAAATGCTTAAAGGCCTTATTACCATATCTTGTTAATGATCTAACCTTAGTAATTTCAGAAACATTATTTACCTCTTTGTGCCACTAAGAGGTTCTACCTTGCATACAAATGTTGTAGGATATCCTACACATGCTACAGGCCTTGAAGAAACTTTGACCCCTCCACACGTCTATGAGTACTGTGCCAGCCCTTGAAATAATCTTCATAATGCTGTAGCCCTCCACCAAGAGGAGGGTGAAACAACCTCAATGCACAGTAATGCCTGTGAGCACGAACATACAATGACAGGTTCATTCTTTCCTTTACACTGCCTGTGTTCAGACATTTTTTTCTTTGTGCTTTTTGAGTTTATAGTCACTTTAATTAACTCCCTTTCTTTATTGAGTGCAACATTACTTTTTTTCCTTGTTACACTTTTATTCTGTCTACCTGATTGTAACTTCATTTTCTCTAGCCACCTCATTTCACCTTTGTGATATTTGAATTAACATATGCATAAAAAAAAAGTCCTGGGGCTCAGACATTCTTTTTTCATGCACTTTCTCCAGTTGTGTCAATAGTGACTGGAGGTACTGTATCTGTTCATGGAGTTGATGTTCCATACTTATCCCTTTAGCTCACATGTCTGGTGAGTGACAGATCTTTATTTCATCCCATATCAGGGTACTATATATATTGTGGAAATATTAAGTTACCACATTCTGACATAGCTGTGATGAATCATGGTATGACAACATGTTCACTGCTGATGTTTTTCAAACATGATTTTATTGATATTGTGCATCAGGTGGTTGGTTCCCTTCTACCTACTTCTTTTCCAGTTCAGGTCCCTCATCTTTTTCACTGCCTTCTGTGTAGCTTGCTCCACTTGGGGACAATTTTGGCCAGCTCTTCTACCTCTTTTCTCCCAGATGAGGAGCAGGTACCTCATTTTTATCTGTTTGCTATGCTCATAACTCTGGTATGTGACTTTCTGTTCCTTTTGCATGTATGTCATAATGACTCTTGGGTTGCTTTTCCTTGTGAGCCACCTTCTGTCTCACTGTCATGTTGATCTCTGTCTTCCTTGTCCTCCTCATCTTCATGACACATTTGCTATAACCTAAAGTCATGACATTTCTGTTTTTCTTGAACACCAATCTCTCTTGTCTTTTCTGTCTGTATGGGGTGCTCCTCTTTCTTTTCTGCAATCTCCTCTTCTTCATCTTATTTTTACTTCTTTGCTGCATCTCTACCATTCACTTTCTCACTGTGATACTTCATCACAACCCTGATAGTTTTGATTGGGACACCCATTCTTATTTGTTTGCCCCCTTTGGCTTTTGTTTCTTCCTGTACTATGTATATTTTGACTTGATTTCTCTGTTCTTTGGATCTCCTCAGTCTGGACACTCTTCTTTCAATTGTCAACCTCCCATCCTCCTCTCTCTCTCTCTCTCTTTACCCCTGTTCTTACTGCACCAATTTTTGTGGGTGTTCTCCATTCCTTTGTATCTTGGACTGGAGCTGCTTGCCTACAATCTTTTTTTGATCCCCTGGTTTCCCATCTCACTAGACTATAGATACTTCCATTGGGTACCAGATCTCAGAAGTTCATTGGTGCTACCTTTTCTCGTGTTCCTCATCGCAGCTACTAACCATTCCCCATTATAAAGGGTAGGCCATTGAGACTCTTTTAGTAACTCTTTCTTCTGGCCAATTCTTGGCTCTGGGACCTTTGGCACCCACCTCTTGTATACCTGCAATTGCCCTTCACAGGCAACCCTTGGATTGTGCTAGTTTGTTTTTGAGGTCTGTCTCTGCTTTTCTTAATCCACCCCTCACCTATCCTCTTTATTTCAGTCCTCTCCATCTTCGACATCATCCTAGGAGCTTTCTTGATTTTTGTGCTGGGAAGCCTCAACCACTTTTGTTGCATCCTCATGCCATGGGGTTCTTGGCTTTGCAGAGTCTATTGAAGGCTCTTCATTCTCCTTCTTTTTCTGCATGAGAGGCTCTCTTGCTTTGGGGGATTCTGACTCTTCTCCAGATATGTGTCCCCTTCACTGGGTTCTGGATGATCTGTGGCACAAGTTCTGCAATCTTTTATCTGCTCTTGTGCCTGTCTGTTCATCTTTACTTCCCTGTCTTGATCACTTCAAATGACCCAGGGTATTCCACCCCACCCCCCTCAAACCAACTTGCATCCTTACACTAATGTTTTTCTTTTTCCTTTCCATTTGGGAGGTCAGTTCTTGACACTTCAATTCTTTCTGAGATCTGCTACTTATCAACATTCTGGAGATGTCTGCAGCCTTTTGGGATTGCCATAATCTTTGGTCATGATGGTTGGGCCATCTTATTATGATCCATTCCAACACTTCTATGGTCATTTTCCTTTCCATTCGGGGGTCAGTTCTTGACGCTTCCATTCTTTCTGGGATCTGGTACTTTTCAACTTTCTGAAGATGTCTGCAGCTTTTTGGGATTGCCATAATCTTTGATCTTGATTGTCAGGTCATTTTATTATGATCCGTTCCAACACTTCTATGATCATTTCATACATCAACCATCAGGAAGGCACCCACTGTCCATATCTATGCTTTGACTGGTTCTTGACGAAAGTGTATTCATTTTGGTGTTTGGTTGGGTTCATTAAATCATCCAACTGGCATGTTCTTTTTTTTTGAGTAAGAGTAACCGTACAATTTTTAATGTCACTTTCCATTAGATCTGGCATACCACAGCCTCTCCTTCACAGGTCATTGAAGGAAGTCTTGGAGGCTGGTATGTGGACTACACTTAACACATTTATCTCCCATTACTTACATTACTAGGCACTTTCACATGCCTCTGGTTTTCGCATCCGTCTGCTGTCCAGTCTCCCCAGAGGCTCCAGTGTGGTGAATTATTCCTATTGTTTTTTTCATTTTCAGTAATGTTTTATGATATCCGTGTCCCAGACACATTTCATGACATCAGCTTGTGTGTAACCATCTTTTCATACACATCCAAAATAAAACTAGGAGGCAAAACACACCAAAAAGGAGAAAGAAGGAATTAACAACAAAAAAAAAACATCCAAATAACATGTAGAACTAAACACTACACTACTTATGTTTGATGTCATTGGATCCAGTCAAGTTGCAGGCATTGCCTCCCAGGGAATACCTACCCATAATTCATATGAAGTGGGGGAATATAAAAAATTTTAAACCCATCTGTCCCTGCTCAGTGCCCATCACTGAGACAGGGTTTTATGCAAGACTGCTTTGGCAGTATGTCTATTTAATTGACCTTGCCATTTCTGCACCTTTTACAAACAAAACAAAAATAACAGACAGTACCAGGTTTAGTCCTGCCCTTACACTTGTTGTTTTATTAGTTGTAGTAGCCCATTGAACTGTCTCTTGGTGGGGACTCATTTCCAGACTATTGTGTCTGATGAATGTAGTTCACACACACTATCTTGTGTTTTCCCCAACACATATTTCTCCCCCCATTTTTCTAATGGAGTATGGGAGAACCCTTACTCCCCCAGTCCCAAGCCACTGGCTAAAATGATATATGGAGAGCTTCCTTTGTGACTGATGCCTTCCCCTTGGTAAGAGATCAGTTGGACTCTTGCTTCATTTGATATGTGAGGCTGGTTTGTTAACTAAAAGTGTAGTACAATATCTCCCAAGCAATCCCCAATGGATATGTCCAGCTGGGACTTTGATTTGCCTTATAATGCATGTGAGGGCTCCTCCTCCATCCTCTTATCATTATAGTGTCTTCCTCATGTAAGAAGTTGAATAAGATGAAATGTCTTCAAGCCCTAGCCACACTACATATTCCACAGTTCTACCCGCATTGGTAACACGTAACCACCAACACTGTATTTTCCTGATATCCTTTGCTTTACTCTCTGACTACAAAAACTATTAGGTGAAGAGTTTTCACTGCTTGAGAAGGATGCAGTTTCATACAGGGTGCTGCTACAGTAGGCAACACTCTGGTCTTTTGGAAATCACACTACATGTGCTTTCACTTCCTGTCGATACTTCATAAAAGAGCTCATCTTTGTAATTGACTAGCACTGGCCCCTTCACCACCTTCAGTGTGAGATTCTAGCTCTTAGTGGTGCAGAGAGGTAAGTGAAGTTTCTGTAGTTAACATTTTCCTTACCTGAAAATGTATTTTAGATGGATACTTATCTCTCTCTGCACCACTTCCCATCTTTCCTCCCCCTTTTTGGTGCATTTCATTTACCTTGTCAACAGTGAGCCTATAATCATGTGCTAGTGCTCATGGGATTTACTATGCATAGAGTTTATATCACCCTCCTGTTGGTAGAAGGATACATCACTATGAAGATTGCATCATAGGCTGACACATATAAGGGTTAAGATTTCATTCAAGGTTTGTGGCAAGCATAGGAAATTTCACAGCAGTTGTGCATGAGGTAATAGCTTTTAGTGGTCCATAGAAATGAGTATTTATCTGAAATACATTTTCAGATAAGGAAAATGTTAATTTTTGAAGGTCTTACATCTTTATCTTGTAAGTGATATAACTTCATGGTAATGCTTGAAGTTCTCATGACTATGTTTTATTAATGATATAATTTTATATTAATGCTTTAAGGTATCATAACAGTATCTTGCATTCTTAAAGATATAATCTTCCAGTAATGCTTAAAAGCCTAATGATTGTGTGTTGCTAATGGTATAACCTCACTATAACCCAAAAAAATCTCAAGGATGTTTCTTGTTAATGATACAACCTTATGACAATAATTGAAGATCTCATGACTAGGCATGGGTGATGAGTGAAGTTTGTTAATTGATGAATTGTTGTGCTCATTTATTGATTACATTCAACTAATTGATTATTCTCATATTAGATTTAAAAAAAAATAACCTTATAATGCTAAAAATTGAGTATACAGAACACACACAGCTCATTGTGTAAGTTTGATTTTAACAACAAACAAACATACTGGTAATATTTCAATTACTTGGATACTCGGAATAATCGAAAATAGTGATAAACAGAAACTAATTTTGATTAGTTGATTATTTTTATGTGTTGTGACACTAATTAATTACTTCTCTCTATATGAGCTTAGTCATTTCTACTAATCTTGTAACCACCATGTAACCATGAAACTACGCATACTATAGCTCTGAATGTACAAAGCTTACTTTCATGAAACTTCTCAAGCTTTTTGAAAACATTACAAGTGTGTTGTACAAAAGAAACCAAATTTTTAGTAATGTATTTTAACTAAAGATGTGTCTGTGAATTTACAAACCCTCTACTGAGTCAGTCTTAGTAGGTGATTGTCATGCTAAGAATAAAAATACTTCTTTTTGTCTTTCAGTTTTCACATTTCATCTGGACAACCTCCAGAGCCTACAAATCATCCAGTGAAATCGACCATAGCAAAAGTTGAAAAATATGAAATAAAATACATTTTCTTTCTGGAATGATTGCAGATTTTAACAGACAATTACAATTAGTTGTCCTAAACATCCTCAAGCATAACAGTTGCACCTCTGCTTTCATTTAATTTTATTGTTTTATTGCTCTTTCAACTGTGTGTAACTAATGTAACAAAGCAATAAATCCCTCAGCTAGAGCTTAGTGCAAGTTATGTTAATGAATATCGAGTTACATTGAATTATATCATGAGACAGCAGCTCGCATGCATTCTTTGAGGATAAATTTTTTAAGTTCAAGTTTCTTGTCTAGCCTAAAAAGATTTTAATTTTTAGTTATGTTTGTTATAATGTATATAAAAATGAAGAAAAACCATACATAAAAACCAAAAAATTTTGTATTTACTCTAGCCTTGAGACCGTTTGCACTTAGGTGCAGTTTAGTAAGCCTATTTTTTCTTACTATATTGGTTGCCCAAAAGTAATTCATTTAGCTTTCAAATATGCATTTTAGAACAAAAAAATATATCAGACACTCAATTAGAATGTCCAAATACTTCTATAATTTACCTGCCTTTCTAACTAACCTATAAATAGTTTAAAAAATTTCTTTATTGATTGGAGCAATGTTTTTAGTCCAATCACATCAAGCTTTCATGGTAATTTATTGGCTTTTACAGCTAAAACTGAACAAGCGATTGTCAGATTTATGAAATTTAGAATTCACACTTTCTACTGGTTAAAAATATGTCCAATAACAATGTTAGAAAGAGAGAAACCTAAACATTTCTTTAAAAACAGAGGATATGTGAATGTGGGTTGAACATATATATAGCTATATCTTAGTAAAGCATAAAGATAAGAGGTAGTAATTTTATTTTATAAATTATCATTATCTGTATCATGTGTTTCTATTGGGTTGAACATTCTGAAACCCTTGTAAGGGAAGATAAATATCTATAAATGATAAGTCACAGCATTTCTAGGTAACATCACTTTTAGAGGTGCAAATTGAGAACTTTCCAACACATATTTACCTCTGCTGACACTATAGCTATTTCTCGATCTCTAGGGTTGAAAAGCTTGCTTCAGTCTTTATATACCCTGCTCGAATGCCCTTGTCAAATTCTAATTTGCAAATTTCTCCACTAACTTCAATGCACCCTCTATCTAGGTACTGTATATAAGCACCTCATTCAGATAATGTAATCACTTTTTGTTGACAAAGCACCTCATTGAGATATTGTAATCACTTTTTTCGACAGAGCATTTGGCACCATAAACAGAAGTGTTGTAATTATTCACATAATATACATTGCAACTTTGGATGTAGTTGGCTTGACTATGGTTAAATTTTTGCTTATATTTACAAATTAATTAATTAAAAAAAAAAAGACTAGTATTAATTCCCGAATTAATGTTTCTACTACGAAGGCCAGCCAGACCTCTTCTCTTCCACCTCTGCTATCTGATGTTTGTAAATGGCCAGGGGAGGGGTTACTCTCAGTTGAGGCTATTCATAATATGATCCATTGGAAGATGAAGACATACATGTAGACTGAAATGTCTCTCTCTGGGGGTTCTGAGACAGCTTTTGCAAGTGACTCGGGATCAGCTGAAGAGAATTTAGACTCAGTTTTTCCGGCTCCTTTAGGTCGGCCTCAAGAGAGGATTCTCTTGATCAGCCAACTCCAGCCCCTTTTCTTCAGTTGGTTACTTGGGTTAGTGAGGTTGGTGAAAAGGATGGCTAATGACTACTTGGTTTTTCCTCCTCCTCCTGATATTGCTGTTCATGCTGGGTGATTTGTTGCTCAGTTAAGCGATGGGATAGCTATGCCTTGTCCCCCTGTTTATCTGAACAGCATGCTTTGGCTTTAAACTGCCAGGACGAGGTATATTTAGATTCTCAATGGATAGAACCCATTTTCGAACTGTGAGGTTCTGGATTGGAACCTGTGATCAATTTGAACGGATCACAGTTTTCTCAGATTCGTCTTACTCTCACTACTGTCCTCAGATATTTATCTTCGATCCAACTTTTGTTGGAAGCCTATCAACATTCCAGAGATGTTGGAATCACAAATTGATTCAGCTCGTTTACATTCTTTTTTTATCATCATTAGCTTCTCGCCTTTCTGGTGCTAATTTAGGAGTATCTGCTTGTAGTGTTTCCCGACCTCTTCCTTTGGTTCCCATGATAGAGTCCATCCATATTTATCGAGGATCTTCGACTCGAGAAGGACCATCAGCAATGATGTCAGTGACTATCCTGTGGGCAGGGAAGCATTGGGAGTACAATTACATCACTTTCTGGACGTCTGGAGCTTTTTCACCAGGGATCCATGGGTACTTCATGATCATTCAATTTACATCACCTCCACCATTATCTTCTCAACCTGTTGCCTTTTCATCTCCAATAGATCCACGACGAGTGGAGCTTGGTTCCCAGGCCATAAGAGAATTGTTAATCAAAAAGGCAGTAGAGAGGGTCGATCCCATTCATCCGGGATTTTATTCCTGTTTATTTGTTGTACCCAAGAAGACAGGAGATTGGCATTCAATCATCGATCTGTCTTGACTCAACAAATTTTAAGATCCTCCTCACTTTACTATGGAATATTTTCTCAACCTACGATTGCACTTTGCCCCAGGGCTCTGGATGACCAAGTTCATTGTTACTGACACTTATCTTCATAGTCCCATAGTGAAATTTTCCTGGAGATTACTCAGATTTGTGTACAAAGGGTCAGGTCCTGCAATTCAAGGCTCTACCTTTTGGTCTTGCATCATCACCTTCTGCAGAGTTGTACGAGCTTTTTTCTCGTCATCTGCATTTCTTGGGTCTGTGCACACATCATTATATGGATGACTGGCTCCTTCTGGCACCATCCCATCAAGTAGCAGAACAACTCTCTCAGGTTCTCCTTTCAGAAGCCACAAAAGTGGGCTTTCTTATTAGACTGGAGAAATCTATTCTCTCATCGAAGCAATATCTCGTCCATCTGGGTGTGTTTTTCAATACTCACTTAGGTCGAGCTCAACCAACCCCTATCAGGTTACAGGCCATAGAAAGAGCTGTCAGGCTTTTACTTCTGTTTCCTTCTCCTGTTGCATGGATGGTTCTCTCTTTTTTGGGGATATGGGCATTCCTCGAACCCCTCATTCCTTTGAGTGGTCACTGCATGACCAATGAATCATGCATTCCAACCCTTTGGTAATCTTGTCTCATTACTCAGGAGCAGCATCGTCAATTGCGAATGGTGGTTGGATTGGAACAACACTACTATTGGAGTACCCATTCCACCACCTCGTCCCAAGATCCATCTGCTCACAGATGCATCTCTTCAGAGATGGGGAGCTTATCTTCAAGGATACAAGTTACCGGTTAGTATGTTTTGGAAGTTAACATTTTCCTAAACTGAAAATGTATTTCCAATAATACTTGCCTCTGCTGACATACTCCTGCCCTACCTCCCCATAAAAACAGGATTATG